TACTGATCCAAGGGAAAATCACAATGTGGACAATACTATGAACAACTAATAAGATTATGACAAGTATAGGTGCTTAGATAATATTATCTAAATGAGGATCTAATAGGGAAGCAAGTCACATAGCAAGCATACAAGGAATGAGCAAGGATTATTGGTGATAAGGAGTAGGTCAGGGATATTTCTTGGAAGATTTTGGTCCCTCATCCAGGTGGTTGTTACCTATTTAAAATATCAATCACTGCTATTCATCCATAGGGAAGCACATGGATGTGGTAGTTTTTTTGTAATGCTCCATTTAAGTGAATGTGTCTTGATTGTCCTCTAAATTGACTGCTCAACTCTAATCAATGTGGGTTCCTCAAAGGCCAACTGTCTAAGTGCCTATAAGATATCTAATTAACTTACCTATCTATGATATTTCCCCATCTTAAGAAATATAGCTAACTCCTATGAGGGTCCAAAGGGTAAAGGTGATGGCTACTTCCAGCTGAAGAGGGCCAGTTGTGATGAGCAGTCAGACTTACTCTACAGAAGGTCTATCTAAAGGCCCTCGATAGGTGCCAGACATTGGTACCTTTGATAGACACATAGCCTTGAGTCTGGAGGAGACAAAGCCAAAGGAACAGTTATGAATAAATGAGCCAAATACGATGGTCACCAAGATTGTTATGAATATAGCCAGTAAGAAGGAACTACCAACAACCTCCTACAAAGAAGATAAGAGAAGGTCCATGAGACTTCAGAATGTGACATAGAAGCCATAATGTAGTTTAACAGTAATGAGCTATTTACAATGTCAATCTGGTGGATCCCAAAAAAAGAAGTTTATCACATTTGTCACTGGTATGTCTGCTTACAGTTTGGCAGTTTCTAGGCAAGAATAAATAAAAACTTAAAGAAATTAGAGCATTACAGTGTATGCATTAGTGCTAGGATAAGAAGGAAAGTTGGAGAAAGATTCACACTTAGAAACTGCTCACACTGACTCTAAATCTAAACTTTAAACTCTTAAATCTCATATTTTGTCAAAAGTCCCTCAAGTTTTAGCTGTAATAAGATAGGGAGTTTTTGCAGAATAATTTTAGCTAAGAGATTGAAAAACTCTAGTTGAGCTCTTATAGATTTTACTGTAATTTTTCCTAATGGTATATACTCATGGTCAGCTGCCAGTGTAGCTCAAAACTGCTAGAAGGGGTCAAAGATTAGAGCAATAGGTGGTCTCTACCTCAGTCTGATAAAAAAGTCTATAAAAAACCAACAGCCAATATGATACTAAATGGTCAAAACTTCACACTAAAATCAGAAGAAGGACAAGGATGTCCACTATTACCACTCCTCTTCAACATAGTTTTGGAAACTTTAGCTACAGCAATTAGAAAAGAGAAATAAATAAAAACGAATAATGATAAGAAATGAAGATGTTAAATTGTCATTATTTGCAGATGACCTGATACTCTATATAGGGGACCCCAAGAACTCCACCAAAAGTCTTATAGATTTAATAACCAAATTCAGCAATGTAGCAGGATACAAAGTTAACATACAAAAATCAATAGTATTTTTGTACATGAAAAATGGACTCACTGAGAGAGAAATGGGGCAATTAATTCCTCTCACAATAGCATCCAAAAAATTTAAATACTTTGGAATCAACCTAAGAAAAGAAATCAAAGACCTCTACTCTGAAAACTACAGTACTTTTAAAAAATAGATTGAAGAGAATATCAGAAAATGGAAAGATATCCCTTGCTCCTGGGTAGGAAGAACCAACATAGTGAAAATGGCCATACTTCCAAAACTGCTACATAGATTCCATGCAACTAAAATTGAAATTCCAGAAACATACTTCAAAGACCTGAGGAAAATAATCCATATATTCTTTTGGAGGATGAAGAGGCCTAGAATAGCAAAAGCAATTTTAGGCAATAAAAGACAAGGTAGGGGGTATTACAATCCCCAACTTGAAACTATACTACAAAGCTACTGTGATAAAAACAGCATGGTACTAGCAAAGAAACAGACCTGAAGATTAGAGGAACAGATTAGAAGATTTAGAAACCACTCCAGACACACCCACCCACCTCACCTTTGACCAAAGTCAAACACCCTCACTGGAAGAAAGATATCTTCTTTAATAAATGGTTCTGTAAAAACTGGGTTTCAACTTGTCAAAGATTAAAACTGGACATATATCTCTCACCATGCACTAAACTAAAATAAAAATGGGTTAAATATCTAGATATTTATTTGTTTGTTTGTTTGTTTGTTTGAGACAGGGTCTCACTATGTAGTTTACACTGACCTGGAACACACTATTTAGCCCAGGCTGGTCTCGAAATCACAGTGATCCTCCTGCCTCAGCCTCCCAAGTGCTGGGATTACAGGCATGTGCCACCACACCTTGCAAGATCTAGATATTTATAAAGTAGCACTAAACTGACTGGAAGAGAGGTTAGGTAAAAGTCTTAAAGACAAGAGTGTAGGAAAAGATTTCATGAACAAAACTTCAGTTGCCCATGAACCAGCACAAAGAATCAACAATTGGGATCTCATCTTTTAAAAAAGCTTGTACACTGGAAGAGAAATTACCAGAAGAGCTAAGACAACCCATAATGTTGGAAAAAATTTAAATACCTGTTCTTCATACAAAGGTCTACTATCTAGAATGTATAAAAAATTAAAAAAATTAGATCCCAAAATATTAAGACCAAATTAAAAATGAGCATCTGAAATGAATAGATACAAGAAAAGGAAAAACATGGAAATGATGTCTTTGTATACAGGGAAGGGTGGAGGAGGTGAAGGGAGGGATACTAATGGGGAAAAAGAAGAACCAAGGTAAGTCATGTAAAGGTACAAGATCCCAGTGATGAATGTGGCTATACTGTATAGCTAAAATGTACCAATAATCTTAAATATAAGATGTAACATGTGCAGGTAAAAATTCCCTTTGACAAATGTGATTGTTATGTATATTTAAAAAATCATTCAATAAAATTAAATGAAGTTTAAAAAAATAAAAACAAATTTCCTTTACAGTTTGTTTATCCAAATCCTCTGAAATTAGCATGTTAATTTTGGGGGCATTATCATGATCCTAGTTGGATTATCAATAGTAGCCAAGATATGGAATCAAATTATTTGCCATAAATTGGATGTATTAATGAATCTGGAATATACACTTAATGTACAACTTAGGCATAAAAAGAAAAAAATCATCAGATTTGTAACTACATAGTTGAGATGTACAACACTGTACTAAGAGAAACCAGACAGACTTAGAAAGACAAACACCTTGTGAACTCATGTATTGTATGTGAAATTGTTAGATTCATGTAAACATAGAGTAAATTGGTGGTGAACAGAGGTGGTGGCACAGGAGATTAAAGATTATACAATTTGTCAGGAGAAATAACTTTAAGAGATCTATTGTATATTGTGACTTCACAATATTTAATTTTACATTTGTAAATCAAATATGATAAGACTCAAGTTTCCAGAATTTACCAAGAAATATTAAAGATCAGAAGCAAAAGTATACTCTATACTTCTGCAAAATAATAAAGGAATTAAAGGACATTTCTACACACAAATATAGAAACTGCAAATGCTGAAACATTTCTAATTAGTCACAGGGAAAAGCAAATAGAAATGACAGTGACATAGTACTTTACACCCAGTAGCAGTTATTTTTGTATTAAAATATATAAAATATGAAGTACTGGCAAGGGTGTGAACATATTAGAAACATTATTTATTATAATGTGAAATCTGTTTTGCTATACAAGATGTTAAACATAAAATGAACTAAGAATTATGTAGTTATTACCCCTTTTAGATATATTACTTAATAAGTCAACACAATCATATATGTTTGTTTCTTAACAACCAGGTTAGGTACTGAGAAAAATGTCGCTAATGATTTCTGTCCTTTTTTGAATGTCATAGTGCACAGTTACACAAAGATAAGTAGGTCTTCACTAAGTAATGTAATGTTACTGGATCACTGGAGCACATTAAGTTAGTCATTAACTAAAGCATCATTATCTAACATAGGTCTGTGCCAAAAATAGAAATATGGATGGTTATGCATTATGGCATTATTCACATCATTTCAATATCCATAAATGAATGGATAAACATTTTGTACATATATGTAGTAGAATATTATTTATATCTACAAAGGGAGCAGCTTCACATTACCACATACAAATGTTCAGAAGAATGAGGAAGAGATAGGAGAATAAGGGAGGACATAAACACAGAAAGCATAGAAGAAATGCAAAAGCGAGGAAGCAAAAGAAGAGAAGACAAAGGAAAATTGGAAAAGAACAAAGGTAAGAAAGAAGGAAAATAAAGGAGAGGAAAAAAGACAAAATTCTTAAAATCTACAGCAACATCACAGAGTTAACCTAGGTACAATATCACTAAGAAGCAGATAAAAAATTCACATACAAATATAGATTCCAGTTTTCATATTGGCAATGTAACCATAGTTTTACTTTAATCAAAAGTAGGATAACTAAAGTAGAAGTCAGTTTTCCAATCAGAAATTATATGAATGAGAGAAAACTTCACAAAGACACGTTTTCAGGATTAAATGAATTCATGCGTGTAAAACAACAAGCGTGGTCTTAATACGGTAAGAACTTTGATAATTCCCATCCTCTTTAATGTGGAAAATTATGAAGGCCATTAACATTTGAGCAGTAGTACTGGAGGAAACCATGTTGGCACTGGACATCACTGCTTTCATCATATTGGAAGTTTCAGAAATGTCTTAGAATCTCACTAAACTTGAAAATGCAGACACCATGCATAGGAATAATAAGTATAAACTGAACTAATGAGGGAGTTGTTGAGAAAGAACAAAACATTTTTTTAAAAAGTCTAAGGCTTTTGGGGAATATGGGAAATTAAGCTTGTCATTTAGAGGAGAAAAAGAGTCAGGATATTAAAATTCACACCAGTTGCCTTGGAGGTTCTCATATGCAAATACTTCAGAGAACAGTGGACCATGAAGGACAAGAGGTTGCTCTGCTGAGGAGTCTGCCCAGGGCCCCCTTCACATCCTTGTTCCGCAGGCTGTAGATGAAGGGGTTCAGCATGGGGGTCACCACAGTGTACATCACAGAGGCCATCATTTTACTCTGCGAAGATTGGGTCATAGCAGAGCTGACATACACCCCAAGTCCTGCTCCATAGAACAAGAAGACCATGCAGAGGTGAGACCCACAGGTGGAAAATGCTTTATACCTGTTTGGAGTAGATGACATCCTCATTAAAGAGGATACAATCTGAAAGTAAGAGAAGAGGATCCCTGTGACAGGAAACACACCCAGCAGGGCAGTTGCCACATAGACAAAGATACTAGTGATGAAGGTGTCAGAGCTGGCCACTTTAAGAACCTGAGCTAGTTCACAGAAGAAATGAGGTATTTCTGTGCCTATAGAGAAGGTGGCCTGCATCATCAGGAAAATTAGAGTCATGGAGATACATGAAGTGCTGACCCAGGACATCAGAACGAGTAGAGCACAGAATTGGGGGTTCATAATGACCATGTAGTTCAGGGGATGACAGATGGCTACAAAGCGGTCATAGGCCATCAAGGTGAGGAGAAGATCATCCATTGCACAAAAAAGCATTAAAAAATATACCTGAGTGAGACACCCACTGTAGGAGATGGCTTTGCTGTGCGCCTGGATGTTCACCAGCATCTTGGGGATTGAAGAAGAGATGAAACAGATGTCCACGAAGGACAGGTTGGAGAGGAAGAAATACATGGGGGTGTGGAGGTGGGGGTCAGAGGTGATGGCCAGGATGATAATCAGGTTCCCGAGCACCGTGAGCAGGTACATGGACAGGAAGAGTCCAAAGAGGACTGGCTGCAATTCAGGATCTTCTGAGAGACCCAGGAGAAGGAACTGTGATGCTTCACTGTGGTTTTCCATTTCCATGTCACTGGTTTATCTTCAGGGGAAGGGCGGATATTGATATTCAATAAGCATCCACCTGGACACTCATTTAGCTTCCATTTTATAATATCACCTGTGGATGCATGATCTTTACCTTTATTATCCTCAATGGCTGTGGTTCATCTAGAAATATCAGAGCTCATTTTCCTTTTAATCTGTACAGTCATCATCATGGCCTTTAATATAGCACAACTGTATACTTTTCATATCACTGACTCTCACTTCTTTTACTTTTGCTAGAAAATAAAAAATTAAAGCTTTGGCTCCTTTCTATTATTTTCTCTTTTGTTTTCTTGAATTTATTGGCATAAACTCACATTTTATTTGATATTAACTTTCCAAAATAATTGAAAACTTTGTATGCATTTTCTTTGATAATCCCCCACCTCTTTCATTTCAAACTTTTATGATGCTGATTAAACATGGATTTATAACTCAAGGAACCTTTATTCTATGACTTGATACATCATATCGATGTAAAATTTAACTCACAATAACATATATTTTCTATCTAAAAATGTGTTACACTTTATTTTTTCATTTTTAAGTGTTACAGTTTGTAAGGCTGAAAATGTCTTTGTTTCCAGTAGGGGTCTTAATAAATAATGAATGTCATTATTGCTATTGTTATTGTAATTCTTTTTATTATAATCACTAAGTCTCACAAGGTACAAAATAGGGCTATGATTTATTAATTGGGGTTTGATTCACACTTCTGCAATAAAATCTCGACTCACCAATATAACATCTTTGTGATCTTGAGAAAGATATTTAAACTATATTAACTGCACATACATCTCTCCTGCAGTGGGAGTATCAATGTTCACTACATGGCAGGATGAAAGGCAATATTGTCTTGTGGTAAAAAGGCCACCTAATGAATGCAAAATTCTCCTTTATGTCTGTATAAGTAGTTCTAAGATAGCTATCACTTAGCAATATCTTCTTAAACTGTGCTTTTCATTATGTATGGAATTCTGGCATTACAATCATAGCAATCTTCTTACCTTTTTTTATTGCTATATAGAATTTCAAATTAGGGCCATGGATTTAGCTCAGAGGCACCATGTCTGCCTTGCAAGTGCAAGGTTCTGAGTTTGATCCCTGGTACCACACACACACACGCACACATGCACACACACACACACACACACACACACACAATTCACATGAATGAATGTCACTCTGGATCTTTCTTTCACAGAATTCCTTCCCAGCATATTCTTCCAAGTAGGGGATGAACCATGTGAACTACACAGATAAGAAAAAGAATGAAGGCACACTAGCATTAAAATCAAATACAAGGCATGTGTCAGAGTGTTCATGCTTTAGGGTAAGTAGTACAGGATTAAATATGCTAAAGTTAGCAGAATTAATGATCTGTGTTTGCATTGGTCAACTTGATGTAAAATATTTAAAAATTGTACAAATCAAATCATCCTATAATGATTAAAAGTAAAAATAAAATTTGTGAAACTTAACATTCTGCATGGCCTAATAGGTATTATGAATATAGAGATATTGTAAACTAATTAAAGGCACAAAAAATATTGTTGGGTACCAATTTAATCTTTGATGATGCATGGGAGAGTTCACTCTGAAACAGAAAAAAATTGAGCCAAATTCCTTGTCAATCAGAAAAGAAAGAGGAAAAAGGAATCCTTCTAGGCTGAGAGAACAGGATGTGTACTTTCCTGTTCAAATACTGAGCTTTGCATAAGAAGGAAGTTGTGCTGTTTAGTTGCAGAGATGTTGGCATGAGAGTTTGGACTCAACATTGGTCTTACTGAGGACTAACAGAGCTCCAGTCATTTTGTAGGCTTGCACAAGGACATATATTTTATTATAATAAACTCCACTACCAAAATAGGTACTATAATACAAACGGGGAATCTTCAAGCTCATTATAAGCCTGCATATAGATACAAATATAGAAAGTTAACTAAAATGTGGTCATATTTATTTTAAAAGAAAAATACATTTAGAACAAAAAATATCCATTCTAAGAAGGATCACATGCTTAGCATAAGGATTTTGGTTAACTGAATTCAACACAAAAATAGGTCAATACTATTAATAATAACCATAATCACAATAGAAAATGTGTGAAAAATTTGTTAGACATTTACCTGTTTAGCATTAAAGGAAGAGACTATAAGTAAATGAATAAGTCACAGATGTGATCATAATTCAATAAATCTGACAGTAGGCTACAATTTGTAAGAAAATTTGGAGAGGACAGATGCTCTTGCAAAATATCATCTTTGAGAGAAGTCCTAGGATACAAAGACTGAGATAAGAAAGCAGAAGAATAATTAAAAAATATATATATAGATCTTCAGGAAGACTTCAAAGATCCTTTGAATTGCAGAGATTAACCTTCATAGACTACTGGAATATTTGAATTTTGCACTATTATTCCAGAGGAAAATCCCAGTGCCTACCTCATTTCAATTTTTCTTTTATTATTCCACTTGACCTCATGAAGACATATCAATTCTCTCTAGTTGCATTTCTTCTCTAGAGTTTGCTTATATGGTAAGCCCTCCTTTGAGATCAGAGAAGTATAGGTAAGGGCCAACAGGAGCAGAGTTTTAGTTTCTAGCACCCAGATATTTGAAATCTCAGAGCTCCTAATTAAATAAATTGTTCCATTGTTTTTGTATTATCCAAACATTTTAGCTCTCTTGGTGGCAAAGAGAAGAATGCAGAATGAAAAACATTTCAGTTGATTATGTGTTCACAAAGGTTGAACAGTTTGAAAGAAATCTATTTCCTCCAAGTAAAAAAATTTCTCCCTTTGGTTTGATTTCAAATTCACAATTGAATTCAAATTCACATTCTAACTAATGTGTAACTGGTTTAAAAAATCAACTCCAGGGAAATCTCTGTGATATACTTCCATAGAAATTTTGGAGATTTTAATTCTTTTGGAAAGATACCCAGCAGAGGGATGGCTGGGTCAAATGGAACCTCTAGTCCCAGCTCTTTGAGGTATCTCCATATTGATTTCCATAGTGGTTGCACCTCTCTGCACTCCCACCAACAATGGAGAAGGGTTCCTTTCTCCCCACAACCCCTCTAATATTTGCTATTGGTTGATATCTTTTTTTTTTTGGTCCCAGGTATTGAACTTGGGTCCTTGCTCTTGCAAGGCAGGCCATGAAACCACTGAGCTAAATCCCCGGTCCTGGTTGATATCTTGATAGTAGTCATTCTTTGTGGGGTGAGGTGGAATCTCAGTGTTGTTTTCATCTGCATTTCTTGTACCAGTGATGTGGAACATTTTTTCATATATTTACTTGCTGTTTTTACTTCTTTGTCTGAGAAATGTCTGTTCATTTTTGAATTGGGTCTTTATATTGGGTGGGCTGATTGTTTTGAGTTATTTATATATTCTAGATAATAGTCCTTTGAGGAGGAGCTGGTAAAATTTTTTTTTACACATTGTAGGTTGTCTTTTAGTTCTGTTGATGGTTTCTTTTGCAGTGCAGAAGCTTTTTAATAAGATGAGATCCCAGTTGTTCATTCTTTCTGCTAGTTCCTGTACTACTAAGGATTTGTGTGATATATCCACACCTATGTTTATAGTGGCACAGTTTGTAATAGCTAAAACTTGGAAACAGCCCATTTACCCATCAGTTGTAGACTGGATAAAGAAGATATGATTTTTCTATAAAATGAAATACTACTCAGCCATAAAGAATGAGGAATTAGAGTCATTCATAGGAAAATGCACACATATTTAGGATATACTCTTATGTGAAATAAATAAGACACACATATATAAATACCGAATAGTTTCTCTGGTGTGAAAAACTATAAGATATAATAGACAATGTGACATAGGAAGAAAAGGGCTAAAAGTGTAGGGAAAGTGGGAAGGGTAGGGGAAAGCTAATAAGGGAAAAGAAAAACATATGAACAAATGGAAATAAAGTGTTTGAAAGTGGGAAGGGAAGGGGGGGTGATGGGAGGGTAAGGACAAGGGGAAAAATGAGAACCAAGACCTGTCATGTAAAGTTACATGATCCCAATGATGAATGCAATTGTATACCTAAATGTATACCTAAAAAGTACCAAGAAACTCTATGAGAGAGAAAAAAAAAAGAAATTTTGGAGATTTTGTAGACAGTTTGGTGTTCATAATGTTATGAAGGAAAAAGACTGTTTTTTAAATTTTTTTCTCAATTTAAAATTTTTTCAAATTTAGTATTTTAAAGCTTACCAGATAAAGTTATATGTGATTGTAATGTACAATGTGATGTTTGACAGTTTTCAGTATTCTGAAATGGTAGAATGTAGAAAATGTACATATGCATTAGCTCACATAGTTAACTTTTTTGTTGAGGGAACACTTAATAGTCATTCAAAATATTTCAAGAATGCAACATACTGGGGCCAGGGATTTAGTCCATTGGGACCACACCTGCTACACAAGCCAAGTTTCAGAGTTTGATCACTGTTACTGAAAAAATAATAATATTACAATATTTCATCATTAACTATAGTTGCTGGACTGTAGAATTCATTTCGTAAACTAGTTCCTCATATCAAACTGAAGATTTGTATAGCTTGCCAATAACTTTTAGAAGCACTGCACCAGCCTTTGGAAATCACAATTCTGCTCTTTATTAGTGAGATGAAATTTGTAAAATGCTCAAGAAAGAGATTATGTTGTATTATTTTTCTGCACCTGGCTCACTTTATTTAATGTGTATTTTTCTATTTCATACATGTTGAGTGCTTTAGAGTGCTCTTGCATTGTATGGTGAGTTTACATAACAATTATCTACTGTGTATTTTATTTTATTTTTATTTTTTTCTCATTGAGTTGATTGGTACATTAGGTATACAGTATAGTTACATTCATCATTGGATTGTGTACCTTTACATGACAGGTCTTGGTCCTCATGTTTTCTCCTTATCCCTGCCCTCCCTTCACCCTTTCATCTCTTCCCTATTTATAAATACTTTATTTC